CTCGGAAATCCGCGCTGCGGACATCTGTAACAGCCCAACATTCCCACGGCCCGGCTGCCAGCCAAAGCAGGTACGGTTTGCTTCTCCGAGGACGGAGCTCATGTTCCTCACTCCTTTGCTAGCAGAGCTCCAAAAAAAGGGGAAGGAATTTGAGGAGGTAACGCAAGAACAGAGCAAAGGTGGCAGAGACTGACGGCCAGTGGAAGGTGAGGGGCAAAACCTGAACCCATGGCAGGAGCAACACCAGAACTCATCACCATCTGTGCAGAGCTGTGCCCAGCAGGAACCTCTCCAGAGCTAACCCAGCTCTTCTACGACTCAATAAAACTCTCTCTAAAAAATGTTCCTGTGTCTTCACACTTTGAAGTAACAAACCAATCTTTATTAGAAACTAGTTATGGTCTAGTTTCTTTGAGGGAAATGTTTTTCTAGACCTCCCTGAGCCTGCTGTTCTGTTGTCTTACAAGAAGTCTAACAAAACTTTAAATAACTCTCAACAAGCTTATTTTATACTGACTGGTTTTCAGTTTTGAGGCACGCAATTTTAAAATACTGCAAAAAAAATTTCTAAATACATTAATAAATTGCTGCTCTTTATCCTGGAGAGCCTTTAGCACTAGATTCTCTATCAAAAGCACATATTCTACTTAAAAGTTGGAATTTGAACTCCCAGTTGTTTGGGTCACACATTTAATCACTGTCATGTGGCTCACTGAAACCTACTGGAAAAAAAGAAAAAGCCAAACAGAATTGCACCAGGTTCTTGTTGAGTGGAACCCAAGTGGTACAACTTCCTTTAAACATTTATTTTTCATGCTCTTTTTCTTAACTGTGCTGGCCAAAGTTGCTCTGGTTTTTATTGCAGGGCAGTATGTTTTGGGGTTTTTTTCCAAAGCATGAAGACACAAAATAATTCCTTTTGAGACTTATAGTTCTGGCTGTAAAACCTAAACCAACCAGAACATGGACTTCAGCTCAGCAATGATCGTGCTTTAATTCCTGTAGTAATGGGACCAATTTCTATATTAAACTGCACATTTCCCCTGAACCAAATACAATCCTGTTCCATTTGTGGGAACTTCACACAATAACTGAGCACACAAGGCCAGAGAAGAGTCCTCCTCACTCTGGTTAGAGAGGAGCTGTGAGGAACAACACCATGGGGTAAACGTGTTCAGCACCACCACCTCCATCCGAGTGCCCAAGTACGGACACCAAGAGCAGCCCACACAAACACCTCACTTCACTTCTACCGTTGTAAAGTGACATTAAAAGAGTTGCAATACAGCACAGTATCGAACGCAGTAGGTCATTTTGCTTCTAAGCTGTACAACACATTACACTGTGTGCAGTAATAACATCTGATACACACACAACAAATTAAACTCACTAGTCTGATTTTACAGGGATTTCAAGAGCAAAATTCATCCCAGGCACAAGAAGAAACCTCCCCACTGTGGGCAACCCCGGCACAGGAGAAATTCCTCCTGCGCGCCTTGCCAGTGGAGCTGGAGGGGGGTGACCTCCAGCCGTGACACTGGGAGCCCCAGCACGTGGCTCCCTCGTCCTGTGCCTGGAGCCGATCCGAAGTGCCACCAGGCTGTGGTGGCGGTCATTAAACCATCATCAAGCTAGGACTTGTCTGCTTTTCAACAATAAACAAACAGATCAATATTCATTTTTCCTGTACAAACAAAATTACGCATAATTATCCTAGTTTATTAGGCAAGCATAATTAACTTTTCAGAAATACATTCTCAAAACCAATTACTTCATCCAAGAGAGCTTCAAGTTTTAAAAAGTGGAACTTCTGAGAAATATCTTGTCTTAAGGGGAAGCTGTCAGTTGCAGAAATATTACTCTAATTCTTCTCGTATTCTTAAAATCTGATTAGCTAGCTTTAGATTTAAAAGATTTTATAACAGTCACATACAAGTAACAGAAAAATAAAACAACCAACAGGGTCTGTCAGAATTGGGCTTGCTTCATGACACAACTGCAGTCTTTCTGGGGGGTCATGGCAGCAGCAGGACACACAACTACAAGGACATAACATGGGTGCTACCACAACCCCTGCCTGACAGTTTAACACCCGCTTCTCAGACTCACTGTACTCCAGAGCCTGTGACAACTGCTCCGACACGACTGTCAACACTACATCAGCACACACTTTGGAAATTTCTGTTACCCATTTTGGATACATGAGCACTGTTAGCATGAAACAGAAAGTCTCCTTACACTGGCTGCCAAGCATTCAGTCATGTTAAGGTGAAAGGTAAAGCAACCTGGGCATCGTTAATTTTCTGCTTAAGCCAAGTCAGCTGTGGATTCTTCCTATGCCCTAGTGTCATTAACCGCTAATTGAATTACAGTGTCTAGACTCTGTAAAAGAAATGAGACCATGCTGAAAAGCACCAACACAAGACACAAATGAGATGCACTAAAACAGAAACTTCCTCCTTTGAGAATTACTTAAAAATTCCCCAATTTCTGTACCAAAAGCCTTTCCAACTACACCAGTCACCACTGCTACATTCTCTTCTCACAAGCTGCCATCGGCTGTCTTCTCTCTTCGTACCTTATGTTCACCGTATAGGGGCAAAATACCACGTCTGAACTCCTCTGCTCTTGTTAAGCTCTTCTCTGGCGTTAAGGGTGTTTAATAACAGGATGAGAATTTTACCCCTGAAAGGCACTGACCTCAAGAAGCTGGGAGGCTGCAGGCTGCTCCTTGCACACCTGTGCAATCAGGATGTGCTGTCAAAGCCGCCAGACCAAGAGCAGAGCAGCAGAAGGGATTTTTTTTTTCCTGAAATTGCATTTCTACGCCCTCCTTGAGATCAAGCAAAGCTTTTTCAGAGACCGAGGGCCCCTCGAAACCCGCCGAACCGGGAGATCCCCGGTCACCAC